CAGGTCTGCCAACACTAAGATGACATGGGTCCGACCTGTTTGTAGTAAGGACTGAGCATCACCTCCACTGAGCCTGATTTTCTGGCACCATAGACTTGCTTGTCATTGCAGGGGAGGGGGGAGAGAGTGGGAGGAAGAGTAAAGTAAGTTCCAACAGGTGATGTGCTTGTCTTCTTTCTTCGTACAGTCTCTGGGGTTGAGACCCTGAACTTTCTGAGCAGGACGTCCCCTTTCGCTTCTGGCTTCTGGAACCATCTCCTGATGTTCTCACACCTCCTGGATGCTTGGATGCTTGCGGTCTGGAGACGCCCTGTCACAGGCCTGGTGTGGTTGGGGCAGCAGTTGATTTTCCTGGCTTGAATAAAGATGAGCAGTTTGGCATTTCTATGTGTGGGATGTGTGGCCATTTCCTTGTGATAGAAAACACTCCCTGAACACTTCCACATCCCTGGAAGTGTTCAAGGCCAGGTTGGATGGGGCTTTGAGCAACGTGATGTAGTGGAAGGTGTCCCTGTCCATGGTGGAGAGGTTGGAATTAGATCATCTTGAAGGTCCCTTCCAAGCCAAACCATTGTATGGTTCTGTGACTCTGTAACATGACTTACATGGAAGCAGTGAACTGGAAGTGTTGATGTATATGTGCATCTGAACATCAGCTCATAAATGCATGCAGCAATCAATATGTTATTTCCAGAGCATCTGATGAAATTCAAATAAAAGCAGAGATAAAGCCCGTCCTACAGTTTTGAAAGTTAAGAAGGTTTATAATACTCCTCATATTCTTGCACATCCCATGCCAGCAGATTATTTTATACGATTGAGGGAGGGAAACCTTATCTGCTTTTTTGAGACTGGTCTCTGCTGTCTGTACCAGGAAAAGTCCAGGCAGCTCCTGCTAAGCTACTGCAGCCCATGTGCCCGTGGTGCAGTGGGTGTCACAAGATGTGTTGCATGAGGATAACGGTGAAGATTGCAACAGCCCCCAGGAGGCACCTTAGCCTCTCCTGTTGCTTCAGAGAGGGAAGAGATGCAACACCATCATCCCTACACAGATGGGTCGCTTTCTGATTGGCTAAGGGGAGATATGGCCATGGGAATAAGCATGTCTCACCCACCAGCAGTGGTATAAACCAGAGCGTTTTGGGCAAAGTGATATTCCCTGACCCCAAGGGCATCTAGACACAAGTAATTCCTGGTGTGTTTGTTGCTGCCTGAAGATCAAGAACTTTCCTCATCAGGTAAGTAGCTATGGGGTCTCTTCCAGGTTGACCACTCATTCAGTCTCTCTGTTCAAGTTCCATCATAGTGGAAACATCTAAATGACAAATTGTTGGATATACCTCTTCACATAATTATGTCATCTCAGATTTCTAGGGAAAAAAGTAAACTGAAAATATGAATTCCTTCCCATTAGAGCTTGCAATCTGCTGAAGCTGGGTCCAGGCTTTCCCAGGGCAGGAAAGATTGGAAAGTTTGTGTGGTGTTTGAATAAGGACACCAGGATCTTTTATGCTGGGGAAATGGGAACTCAATAACTTAAAGAGAAAGCCAGTTTACCTACTGTAGTACAGAGAATTTCCATTCTTTTTAGCTTTCCGTACCTTGAAAGATCATGTTTTCCTGATCTCTTTGGCCACTGAAACACTCCTCTCTCCTCTTCTCCTAGCAGGGCAGCAGCTGCACAGGATTATTTCATGACTGTAGCTTTACTATTGCTTTTGCATTCAGCATTGGCACAAGCATCTTCAAAGTGTGTAAACCTCCTCTCCTTTGGTAAGGAGATGCAGAAGAGCACAGGCACGTGGAAGCATACCTAATTTATCCTTTTGATCTGTCTTCCTAGAATGTATTAGGTCTATTTTAGAGACAAGTGTGCCATGCTCAAGGCCCAAGGTTTTCTGACTGCATTCTCTAAATAGCACCAGCTGCTTTTTTATCAAAACAGCATGAATCACCAGACATTAGATCTACAGCCCGTGCTTGGGAGAAAGCATAAGGAAGATAACTGAAAAATATATGCTGCCTTGCCTGAAACTTCCAGAACTATTCACATGCTATTCATGAGATTTACTGCATTCAGCTCTGGGGCTCCCAACACAAGAAGGGTATGGACCTGTTCAAGCAGGTCTGGAGGAGGGCCACAAAGATGTTCCGAGGGCTGGAGCACCTCTGCTATGGAGCCAGGCTGAGAGAGTTGGGGTTGTTCAGCCTGGAGAAAAGAATGCTCTGGGGAGACCTTCTAGCAGCCTTCCAGTACCTGAAGGGGCTACAAGAAAGCTGGAGAGGGACTTTTTACAAGGGCATGTAGTGACAGCACAAGGGGCAATGGCTTTAGATTGAAAGAGGGGAGGAAGAATAATAAATTAGATATAAGGAAGAAATTTTTTACAATGAGGGTGGTGAGGCACTGGAATAGGTTTCCCAGAAAAGTTGTGGCTGCCCCATCTCTGGAAATGTTCAAGGCCAGGTTGGATTTAGCAGCTTAATGTAGCAGAAGGTGTCCCTGCACATGACAGGGGAGTTGGAACTAGATGATCTTTGAGGTCCCTTCCAACCAAAACTGTTCTATGATTCTGTGATTCTAACTTGCATAGGTAGCTGTTGTTCTTGTGAACAGGCTACAGACAACACCATCTTCTTCTCTTCAGGATAACATGTCTGCAGTTTAGTATACCACTGTGCCCAGGCTTCTACACTTCCTGGGGTCCCCCATGCCCTTGTTACATTGGTGTGTCCCTTCTGCAGCCCTGTGAAGACCCAGGAAAGGCATCACCCATGAAGATCCTGTACTTGCTCTTCCTCTTCTTCCTCCTGTTGATCCAGGGTGCTGCAGGTGAGTGGGGAAGAAGGGATAGGGGTGAGATGTGAACCCCCATCAATGGGGTCTTCCATGTCCCAGGAAGTGACCGTATTTTTTAGAAATGCTCAAAGGAGGGAATGATTCTATTGAGAGCCATCCAGGAATAAGAGCTTGGTTCCTTCTTTGGGTTAGGGAGGGATTGAGCTCTGGGCCCCACCCTGGGCATTTAGCTGCTGCTGGTGTCTCTGGATGAGCTCCCATGGTAACTGATGAAGTCTCAGCCCATGCAGCCTACACTGCTCACCCAAAAAATGGACGGGGAAGTTTGTTGCCTAATCACAGATACTCAGTATCTTTTAAGGACCCCTAGATGTGTGTGATTCTGAGATATCAAAGCCCTCTACCCCAGGCTGGATGAGCTAGCCAAGGCTTTATGGAAGAGCTGCTCCTTCTGTAGGGATAGCAGGAGGATGGAAAATATCACTTTGTACCACAGTCAGGGATATCTATGCTTCAGGGCTTTAGCTGATAGTCCTTTTAGATAGTTAACTTGCTATTGAAGGTGCAATTATGGTCATTTTAATACTGGACCCACAAAGTGAGTTGAAATCCTAGTGGAGTGTCAGTTCTTCTGGAATTACAGAATATTCTCCCAAATTATCTTTTCCTTTCAATTTTTTTTTCTCTGTACAGGTGCATCTCTGGCTCCAGGAAGTGAAGGTCAATGTAAGCAAGAAGGGGGATTCTGCAGTTTTTTGACATGCTATCACCCTCATCACATCTTTGGAAGGTGTTCAACATTTATGGTTTGCTGCAAAAGGTAAGTTCTAAAGCCAAACATCCAGGAATTGTCCCTCTGCTTTCTTGGCCAAAATAGATCTACTATTTTCTTTAAATCTACACTACTGGATAACGCCCTCCTGCAGTCATGTTGAGAGGCAGAGGCCAGGGAAGGAGGGTTTAAGTCACTTGATAAAGCTGCTTGAACTTGCCCTATGTGGGGCTGAGGAAGTCCAAATTCAACCAGCATTTTCCCAGTCCCCTTCAGCCCCAGAAGACTACACCGTGGGCTTTCATGAAGACTTTCCCATGCTGTTGGAAAGTGAAGTTTGATCTTTGTGTAGTGTGGGGCACAGCACCACCTCCTTGAGGTTTCTGAAGAGCCATGGGTTCAAGGCTGCAACCACTAAGGAAAACACAGGTCCAAGTCATCTGCAATAAGGACTGGAATTTATCTGAGAAGGGGTTGTCCAGTAATTCCCTACAGGTCCTTATAATAGGAGAAGTGTCAGAGAGACCGGAGGAAGACAAAGAAGGAACATAATAAATAAATATTGGTAATGACATATTGTGCTTCGTTTATGCAGGAAATGGTGATGAATCCTCCTTGCTTCTGGCTCCTGGAACTTTCTGGCTCCTGATGTTCTCTCTTCTCCCTGCCTTTGCTGTCCCCATGTGGGGTGACATCAAGAGTAGAAGCACTGCTCCTGCTGGGTGCTTATGGGCTGGAGACATTCCATCATGGGCCTGATGTGACAGCTTCAATAAAGATATAGTTTCACAGAATCACAGACTGGTTGAGGCTGGAAGGGACCTTTGGAGGTCATCTGGTCGATCCTCCCTGATCATGTTGGCCACCTAGAGCTGGTTGCTGAGGTCTGTGTCCAGATGGCTTTTAAATATCTCCAAGGATGGAGACTCCACAATTTCCCTGGGCAACCTGTACCAGTGCTGGGTCAGCCTCACAGTAAGAAAGTGTGTCCTGATGTTCCAAGGGAGTCTCCTGTGTTTCAGTTTGTGCCCATGGCCTCTGGTCCTGGCACTGGGCACCACTGGAAAGAGCCTGGCTCCATCCTCTTTGCACCTTCCCTTCAGGTATTGATACACATTAATAAGATTCCCCTGAGCCTTCCCTTCTCCAGGCTGAATAGTCTCAGCTCTCTCAGCCTTTCATCATAGGAGAGATGCTCCAGTCCCTTTGTCATCTTGGGGGCCCTTCATTGGACTCTCTCTGGTATGTCCATGTCTATCTCGGACTGGGGAGCCCAGAACCGAACACGGTACTCCAGGTGCAGCCTCACAAGCGCTAAGTAGAGGGGGAGGATGTTGTCCCTCATCCTGCTGGCAATATTTGGTCTAATGCAGCCCAGGACACCTTCAGAATAGCCGCCTTTGCTGCAAGGGCCCACTGCTGGCTTACATTCAGCCTGGTGTCCACCAGGACTCCCAGTCCTATCTTGCAAAGCTGGTTTTCAGCCTGTTGAGGTCTCTCTGGGTGGCAACACAATCCCATGCTGTATGAGTCTCCTGATTTGGCATTATCAGCCAGGTCTACAGCCAGGATCACAGCTGGCAAATAGCTCAAGCAAGGGCTAGGGAAAAGAAATTGAGTTTAAAAACAACTCTCAGGAGGCGTTTGGGAGAGTCCTGCTTATCACAGCTCTTTCTCATGCAGCACTGTTACTCAAGGCCATATAGCAGCTCCATACGAATCATGGCTTTGAAAACAGCTAAACCTCCTAAAAGGGTGAGGTGAGCACAGGACTTTCCCTGTAGGTCTGCTGAGAGATGACTCCTGGACTCCGGGGTCCCATGACTTTGGGCTTTCCCTAGGAGGGATGTTCAGCTTTGTCAAGATGGGAAGTAACTGTATCTCTGTGCGGTACTTCTTGATGTTATGTATGAGTCTGTTTTTTGAGTAAGGCAGAAAATTAAAAACTCTTCAGAGCCTTCTGTTCCATAATTGCATCACTGGGTAGAGATTTGCTGCCAAGCAATCTCTCTAAAGACAAAATTGCAAATACTTTTGAATATGGTGTGTTTTGGAAAAATAAAGAGCTAGCATAGAGCCATCTTCATAGCAAGTGAGAGCTGGATTAAATTACCCAGTGAAATGTGATGGAAGCGTATGCCAACAAATAGAAGCCGAGCATCTCTACCAGGAGCTGCCTACACAGCTACAAAGTTGGTGATGGCTGAGGGTGGCCTCCTTGGAAAGAGAAGTCTTCATCAGAACAACCAGAGTCACTTCTTATAGAATCATAGAATGGTTTGGGTTGGAAGAGACCATAAAGATAGTCTAGTTCCAATTCCCCTCTGCCATGGGCAGGGACACCTTCCACTAGATCAGGTTGCTCAAATCCTCATCCAACCTGGCCTTGAACACTTCCAGGGATCGGCCAACTACAACTTCTCTGGGAAACCTGTGCCAGTGCCTCACCGCCCTAAGAGGGAAGAATTTCTTCCTTAGATCTAATCTAGATCTCCTCTCTTTCAGTTTGAAGCCATTGCCCCTTGTCCTATCACTACATGCCCTTGTAAAAAGTCCCTCTCCAGCTTTCTTGTAGCCCCTTTAAGTACTGGAAAGCTGCAATAAGATCACCCCGGATCCTCCTCTTTTCCAGGCTGAACAGCCCCAACTCTCAGTTTGTCTTCATAGCAGAGGTGCTCCAGCCCTCAAATCATCTTCGTGGCCCTCCTCTGGACCCGCTCCAAAAGCTTCATGTCCTTCTGACCCCAGAGCTGAACACGGCATTCAAGGTGGGGTCTCACGAGAGCAGAGTAGAGAGGCAGAATCCTTCCCTCGACCTGCTGGCCACGCTTCTTTGGATGTAGCTCAGGACACGGTTGGCTTTCTGGGCTGCCAGCGCATGTTGCTGGCTCCTGTTGAGCTTCTCATCAACCAACACTCCCAAGTCCTCCTCAGGGCTGCTCTCAGTGTATTTACGGACATACACACATATTTACCTACAGGTGTATCACAATCATGGAGGCATTTTGTAGAAAGGGTCAGTCATTTGGCAGAGAGCAGTCAGTCTAGCCTCAAGTGTACTCCAGATGGGTGGAGAGGAGAAGGCACCCTGCTCACTCCCTGCAGGACTACCCACCTGATCCATTGGACCTCTTTGAGATGTCAGCTTGAGGGGGAGCTGGACAGCTAGCCTGGGAGAGCTACTTCCCTCTAAGGTCTCCAAAGGTCTTCTTGGGGGTTGTCCATGGGATCAGCACAAGTGCTTATGAAGGCAAGGGAGGTCCCTCCCTGCTGTGTGGTGAGATGGAGCATGGAGCAGCACAACTCTCAACAAGGCCTCCAACAAGGAGGGTTACAGTGTGTTGGAGCAAGATAAGGAGGAGGAGCCTAGTGCCTCCAGAACGGGTAGTACCCACCCAAAGAACACAGTGCTCAACACAGTTCTCTATAAGTATCTGCTGCTGCTGGTGCTGCTGGACAAGGACCAGGACAGGGGTGACATTTGGTCATTTATAGCAAGCAATGTCCTGCATATTGAGGCCAGATTTTTTTTTGAAGTAAAGGTCAAGGCTTGAAAATCATCAATAAGAATTTTCGGCTTTTGAATTGTAGAGAAACCTCAACAGTTGGCGGCCAGCTACCCACTAATTCCT